TAGTACCACACTACTAAAGATAAACAACTCCGCACTGATTTGATAACGTATATTTAATGCTTCCTCTAACGTTCTATAAGTAGCAAGTGATTTTTCTATTATCGTTTCGTAAATAATAAGTTTTATATATTCGAAACGAACACTGACGAAAAAAGATCAATTTATTTTTTTTATCTGACACATCAAGTACTTTCAAGCCTTTCAAGAAAGCGCTTCCATTTAGTATGCTTCGAAAGAACAATCAAGTGACATGTACTATTTCAATTGATATAGAAATTGATTTCGACGTTCCTTTTTCTGAATTTTCTGTGTATCAGTCAAAATGAGAGACAGTGAAGTATTTGTGCAAGAAAATGATTTAGTTCATCGTAGTTGTGGAAAATTATACATGGATACAAAAACGACTGATGTATCATTTATATTTGGAATCGACACCGATCACCCCGAATATGTGCCAGCCCATAAAATTCTCCTATCGGCTGGAAGTCCCGTATTCGACGCAATGTTTTACGGTTCATTAATTGAAGTGGGAGATATTCCAATTGTCGATGCATCAGCCGCAGCTTTTAGAGAATTTTTACAATTTTTCTATAAAAGCAAAGTGCAACTTACATCCCAACACATTGGTGAAGTGATTAATTTGTGTAAAAAATATGAATTGAACGAAGCAGTCGAGGCGTGTGAAATTCCATTGCAAAAGTCATTGACCAAACACGATATGTGCTGGGGCTACGAGGTGGCTGTTCTCCTTGAACTTGAGAATTTACAGCAATTTTGTGAGCAAAAAATTCGTGAAAATGCCCAAGAGGTCTTGACATCCGACACTTTCTTGGAGTGTAATCGAGTTTCAGTGGACAATATTCTGCAGTTAGTAGAATCGAAGTGTAACCCATTGACAATCGTCGAAGCATGCATGGAATGGGCAAAGGCAGAAAATGTGCGAAATAATTTGGATTTAAATCCATTGACACTGAGAGCTCAAATTGGCAACTTATTTGGAAAAATTCCATTTGAAAAAATAAAAATGGAAGAATTTTTCAACTTCACTGCCAAATACGCTGGATTTTTTTCGGACAAAGAAATCGAAACAATTACACAAACAATATTCGAAAATCAGTTTCGATCAAGTATTTGTGCTACATTGCCTTTATCAGTTTTACCGAAATTCGATTGTGATCGACGAATACCTGACGATATGGAATTGTATGAAGCTCAACGACTGTTTTGTTGTTTTGAATCAAACGCAAATCTTTTATTGAGAGAATTTGATTTGCCGCAATTATGTTCGAATTCAGTAAACAACGATATCAAAACTATAGAACTGATTTGCACTATAAACGGACCGTACAACAACCTCAAGGGTGAATTGATATTTTTTAAGAAGGTTGTGCTCACTTCGGAAGCAGAGACGTACACTGTTTTGCCACAACCAGTCATAATTGAAGCAAACAAACTATATGGAATAAGTATCATTGGACTGAAATACCAATATATTGAAGATGTGCCATTTTTACAACGGAAACAACTCAAAAAGACAGTTGAAATTGATAATGACATTAAAATTAAAATTTTCTCCGGATCAGAACTTGTATCGCGTCTTGTGTTTCAGAAAATGATTTAATATAGAATTTTTAAAAATAAAATTTTATGGAGATATAAGTCTGTTTATTTCATTATTATTTTAATCATATTGGAACAAATTGGGGGCTTTTTGGTAAAAGTACTTGGAGATTTGTTGGACGATATCAATTTTAAAGGAAGAACTCTAACTTTGGTGACATAATGCTTTCCATTTGATGAAAATAATGGTTTCGGAATGTCTTATAATTATACCGCCATCGGTGTCATCTGTAATTGAAAGTTCAACTGACCAGTTAGTTCAATATATTGTCTGCGGTACAATAATGATTTCAGTTGTATTATCTATTCCAAGATGATAAAAAATGAACTTCAGCGGGAAACAATTAATTTATTATATATATCAGCACTGTATAGAATGTTCACACACTTCTGTTATGTTCACAATTTAGTATGCTTTGATGAGCCCATGACGAAACGTCTCTTTTTCAACTTGATCAATCATAGTCAGTTTTAAATAATTTAAAGTTTGCAAACAGTAAATATTCCAATATGGAAGATAGTTGTGAAGTATTTGTGCAAGAAAATGACTTAGTTCATCGTAGTTGTGGAAAATTATACATGGATACGAAAACCGCTGACGTTACATTTATATTTGGCATCGACACCGATCACCCCGAATATGTGCCAGCCCATAAAATTTTCCTATCGGCCGGAAGTCCCGTATTCGACGCAATGTTTTACGGTTCATTAATTGAAGT